CGCCTCGGCCTCCCAAAGTGCTGGGATTACAGGTTTGAGCCACCGCGCCCGGCCTCTGACTGCTTTTTATTTACTTATTTTTTATTTTTCGAGATGGAGTCCTGCTCTGTCACCAGGCTGGAGTGCAGTGGCGCGATCTCCGCTCACTGCAGTCTCCGCCTCCCAGGTTCAAGTGATTCCCCTGCCTCAGCCTCCTGAGTAGCTAGGATTACAGGCATGCACCACCACACCCAGCTAATTTTTGTATTTTTAGTAGAGACGGGGTTTTGCCGTGTTGGCCAGGCTGGTCTCAAATCCTGACCTCAGGTGATCTGCCTGCCTTGGAAATCTATTCATTAAAGTGCTCAGAGAGCAGAGAGAACATGAGTGCAAAAAATTTTTTTAGCTTTTTTTTTTTTCTATTGCAAGCTATGACTGGGGAAAAAACAAACATCAGCCAGGCACAGTGGCTCATACCTATAATCCCTGAACGTTGGGAGGCTGAGGCGGGCAGATCGCTTGAGCCCAGGAGTTTGAGACCAGGCTGGGCAACATGGCAACACCCCATCTCTACAAGAAATACAAAAATTAGCCGGGTGTGGTGGTGCGTGCCTGTAGTCCCAGCTCCTCGGGCAGCTGAGATGATCACCTGAGCCTGGGAGGTTGAGGCTACATTGAGTTGTGATTGAGCCCCTGGACTCCAGCCCAAGTGACAAAGCAATACCCTGTCTCAAAGAAATTTTTTTGAGTTGGAGTCTTGCTCTGTCACCCAGGCTGGAGTGCAGTGGTGGGTGATCTTGGCTCACTGCAACCTCAGGTCTCCCAGGTTCAAGCGATTCTCCTGCCTCAGCCTCCCAAGTAGCTAGGACTGCAAGCATGTACTGCTACACCTGGCTAATGTTTGTATTTTTAGTAGAGACAAGGTTTCGTCATGTTGGCCAGGGTGGTCTTGAACTTCCAACCTCAAGTGTTCCACCTGCCTCGGCCTTCCAAAGTGCTGGGATTATAGGCGTGAGTGACTGCGCCTGGCAAAAGAAAGACAATTTTTAAAAAGTCTATTATGGGGGGTGGGTGTGGTGGCATGCACCTGTAGTCCCAGCTACTTGGGAGGCTGAGTTAGGAGAATTGTTTGAACCTGGGAGGTGGAGGTTGCAGTGAGCCAAGATTGTGCCACTGCACTCCAGCCTGGGTGACAGAATGAGACTCTGTCTCAAAAAAAAAAAAAAAAAAAAAGTCTATTATGGGCCAGGTGTGGTGGTTCATGCCCCATAATCCCAGCACTTTGGGAGGCCAAGGCAGGTAGATCACCTGAGGTCAGGGGTTCAAGACCAGCCTGACCAACATGGTGAAACCACGTTTACAGACGTGGGTGGTGCATACCTGTAATCCCAGCTACCTGGGAGGCTGAGGCAGGATAATCACTAGAACTGGAGAGGCAGAGGTTGTGGTGAGCTGAGATTGGGCCATTGCACTCCAGCCTGGGCAACAAGTGCTAAACTCCATCTCAAAAAAAAAAAAAGTCTATAGTGACAAATCCCAGATGTCTTTCCTGTTTGGTGCCACCTGTACACTGGCAAACCTTTCCATCATGTATCAGTTCACCACCGCAACTGTGAGAAGCCCCCGAGCCCCTCGTCCAGGGTGCGATGACCTGCTCCTATAAAGCCAAACTTACCTGGAGCTCAGCCTCTTGGATTTTTAAAATATGGGTGTCTCTTTTCCTCTGGTTTCTGATGACAGTGTGTCCCAAAGTGCCAAGGGGGCCTTTCCCTCAGTCCAGAGAGTTTTCTGGCCACCAGCTGAGTTCCAGACCTGGGCCTGCTGTGCATGACTGGCCCACAGTTCTAGGCCCAAGTACACAGTTGCCTTCGCCCCAGATGCCATTTTCTTGTCCACACCGCTTGCTGCCAAAAGCCAGGACTGAGCTGTTAAGGAACAGCTGGCATGCATGCATCTTGGAGGACGTTGTTGACTGGCTGCCAGTCACCACTCGTGCCCTGGCGTTTGTCTTACAGATGGAGGCTCCGTGGTGAAGGCGCGGGTGCTGACCTGTGTGGAGGGGATGAACCTGCCCTTGCTGGAACAAGCCATCCGGGAGCAGAGGCTGTACCAGCAGGAGCGGGGCAGCGGCCAGTAGAAACAGCAGCCCAGCAACACCCCCACTTGCTTCGGGGGTCAAACCCTCTGGAGCTGCAGGAACCCCGGAGAGCACAGACACCCCCCAGCGACGGCCTTGTCTGCAGCCTGAAAACAGAGGGGGCGGGTGGTGAATCCAGCCCCTTCCGCTACTTTGGGATTGGCTCAGCAATGAGAGCCCTGAAAGCAGGCCCCAAATCCAACAGCTCCACCCTGGGAGACTGCAGGTGGCCAGGCTTGGGTGCCGGGGCTGTGCCTGGTGTGGGGCCGTGGAGGGTTCCAGAAGGTCCTGGTGAATAAAGGCCCAGGGGGCGTGCCCTCGATGTGTGCACCTGGTGCAGCGCTGGTGGGGGCCAGGAGGGGGAGCCACAACCAGTCGTGAGCTGCAGCCTCTCAGAGCTTCTGGTGAATTCTGGGCCGGGGGGCCTCAGGGGAGGGCGCTGGAGGCCCAGGGACCTGGGTGGGGGGCCCAGGACGCAGGGGTGTTGCCCCCAGCCAGCCTCTGCCCTCAGAGGAGGCTGAGCAGCATCACACGGGCGGGGCCCAGGCCCTGGGCCCTGACCTTGCAGCCCAGGGCAGGACTGTGGCTTCAGGGCTCTCCTGACCCCTGACCTCTGTCCCCAGTGGCCCCGGCCCCTGGGCAGCCCTTCCTGGTCACCGTGTGTCCCCAGAGCCTGGGCCTGGCTGGGCTGGGCAGGGGCCTGGGCGGGAGAGGGTGGTCCTGCCCTCTGAGGCCGGGCACGGGTGAGAGGCCTGGGGGGCTGGGCTGGGCTGGGCGAGGGGTGGCCCCCGTACTTCCTGGGGGTTATGGCTGGGCTGGGCAGGTGCCTGGGTGGGAGATGTGGGCCCTGCCCTCTGAGGTCGGGCACAGGCAAGAAGCCTGGGGGTCCTGGGTGTCCTGGGTGTGCCGGGCTGGGTGAGGGGTGGCCCCCAAATCCCTGGGGGTCCAGGCTGGGCTGGGCTGTGCGAGAGGTGGACTCTGTCCCCCAGCCAGGTTCCCAGGCAGGATGAGCCAACTAAAGGGGGTGGCTGAGCCACATGGCTGGGCAGGGTGTCATGTGGCTGGAGGGGGAGTGGGGGTGCTGGGCGTGGGGTGTGAATGGCTCGGCGCCTTCTGTTTCCCGGACAGCTCTGCTGCCATGGATGTGTTCCAGAAGGTAGAGAAGATTGGAGAGGGCACCTATGGGGTGGTGTACAAAGCCAAGAACAGGGAGACAGGACAGCTGGTGGCCCTGAAGAAGATCAGGCTAGATCTGTGAGTGCTGGGACAGCCCCTGAGTTACCTGCCCTGGACCAGCAAAGCCTGGGCACTCTCCGGTCCGTTTCCTCCTTCTGGGAGTCCACACTCATCTCTGGGTGCTGCCTGCAGCCCTTGCCCATCCCCCACCCAGCTCACTGCCTCCTGATCAGCCTTTGCCTGGGCCCTGCTCTGTGGATCTGGGTGGGTGACAAGCCAAGGAGCACATGGCCCAGGCATCCTACGGGGATAAGGGACGCAAAAGCCGATCCCCCTGGCCGGAAGTGCCCTTCTTGGCCCCGGCCTCTGTGCCCACAGCTTGTTTCTTGCAGGGAGACAGAGGGGGTCCCAAGCACTGCCATCAGGGAGATCTCCCTGCTCAAGGAGCTGAAGCACCCCAACATCGTCAGGTGAGTTGGGGATGGAGGCGGGATGCTGGGATGGCGAAGGTGACATCCTGACTGCCATCTCCCTGCCAGGCTGTTGGATGTGGTACACAATGAGAGGAAGCTTTATCTGGTGTTTGAGTTCCTCAGCCAGGACCTGAAGAAGTACATGGACTCCACTCCAGGCTCGGAGCTCCCCATGCACCTCATCAAGGTAAGGAGGGAAGGGCAGCCCCGTCCCCGCTATCCCTGTCCGCTCAGCGCCTCCACGCAGCTGGCTCCACCTCACACTCATTTCTCCAGAGCTACCTCTTCCAGCTGCTGCAGGGGGTGAGTTTCTGCCACTCACATCGGGTCATCCACCGAGACCTGAAGCCCCAGAATCTGCTCATTAATGAGTTAGGTGCCATCAAGCTGGCTGACTTCGGCCTGGCTCGAGCCTTCGGGGTGCCCCTGCGCACCTACACCCACGAGGTATTGTGAGACAAAGAGGAGAGGGGCAGCAGGAGGAGTGTCACCCATGCACTCAGCCGCCCTGAATATTGCTGTTTCTTTGCCCTACAGGTGGTGACGCTGTGGTATCGCGCCCCCGAGATTCTCTTGGGCAGCAAGTTCTATACCACAGCTGTGGATATCTGGAGCATTGGTTGCATCTTTGCAGAGATGGTAGAGAGAGGGGCACACATGGCCACAGGGTGCCACAGGCGGGGTCCTACTAGGGTTGGGTAGGGCCCACTGATACTTCCAGTAGAGGTGGATTAAAGAGTGTTTGGGGCTGGGCACAGTGGCTCACGCCTGTAATCCCAGCACTTTGGGAGGCTGAGGTGGGTGGATCACCTGAGGTCAGGAGTTCAAGACCAGCCTGGACAACATGGTGAAACCCCGTCTCTACTGAAAATACCCAAAAAATTAGGCTGGGCGTGGTAGCTCACACCTGGGCGTGGTGGCTCAGCACTTTGGGAGGCCGAGGCAGGCAGATCCTGAGGTCAGGAGTTCGAGACCAGCCTGACCAACATGGTGAAATCCCGTCTCCACTAAAAATACAAAAATTAGCCAGATGTGGTGCTGCATGCCTGTAATTCCAGCTACCAGGGAGGGAGGCTGCGGCAGGAGAGTCGCCTTGAACCCAGGAGGCGAAGCTTGCAGCGAGCTGAGAGCATGCCATTGTACTCCAGCCTGGGTGACAGAGCTAGACTCTGTCTCAACAACAACAAAAAAATTTTGCCGGGTGCAGTATTGTGCACCTATAATCCCAGCTACTCGGGAGGCTGAGGCAGGAGAATGCTTGAACTCAGGAGGCGGAGGTTACAATGAGCCAAGATTGTGCCATTGCACTCCAGCCTG